CAGGTGGTCACGAGCTTATGGTCGATTCTTAGGCCTTTCTCATAAAGATATGTGGCAATATATACGCGAAAAGCGACTTTGTTTTAATTGTTTAAGGTCTGGCCATCGAGGTACTTCATGCGTAGGGATACATAGATGTCCGGTTACAGGGTGTGACAAGAAATGGCATGAGCTGCCACACGAGCCTCGATCTCAACGTGAGGAGAGTAACCATCAAAACGATTCGAGGCCGCGTATACTCGCCAACGTTGAAGTATCTCCTGGTAGTCGAAGTTTACTGTTTAAAATTCTTTCAGTTAAATTGTTTGCTAATGGTAGGAGTGTCGACTGCTACGCTCTCCTTGATGCAGGGTCGTCCTTGAGTCTGATGAACGAGAAACTTGCGGCGCAGCTTAGTATAACGGGTCCAAGAGAATAACTAACGTTGCAGTGCTTCGGTAGTAGCACGGTCACCGAATCTTCGATGACAGTGAATATGGAGATATCGGGCGTGAGTAAGCAATGCAAAAGGTTTCCACTCGGCGACGTCAAGACGGTTGGATCTGCAGTTGCCGCGACAGACACGTAGTATATCTCAGCTCGACGTAGGCCAACGACATTTAAAGAGACTGCCATTAGTGGGTTACTCAGGTGCTGCTCCAGACTTGTTGATTGGGTTGGACAACGTGCATTTAGGTGTCGCGAAACGTATTGCCGACGATGGTCGTCGGGGTCCGGCTGCAGTATTGACCAAGCTTGGATGGGTGATCTACGGTTCCCTGGGGAACAGAAGCGACACAAATCAGCGCGTATTTTTGGTGCGAGAAAACACTACGGATACGGCGTCGGGAGTCGAAAGCATTGAAGAGCTGGTCAAAAACTTTGTGGTGAGTGACGACTTAGGCGTTTCTACTGCTGTCAGACATATTGAACCAGAGGATGAAGTGAGAGCACGTACTATACTGGAACAAACGACATTTCGCGTTTGCTGAGCGCTATGAGACGGGCCTATTGTGTAAGAACGACGAAGATGTAATAGGAAATAGCCGAGGAATGGCAGAGAAGAGGCTTCTGGCACTAGAGCGAAAATTGGTATGCAACGAGCAACTAAGACGCGAATACAATAGGATGATGAGAAGCTACGAAACAAAAGGCTACTCAAGGAGGCTCGTAGCAGACGAAGTTTCCCCACAACATCCACGCACATGGCATTTGCCCCACTGTGGGGTTTTTAATCCGAACAAACCAGGAAAGGTACGTCTCGTTTTCGACGCAGCAGCGCAAGTTTCTGGGAGATCCTTAAACTCCTATTTATTGAGCGGTCCAGACTTATGCAAGCCGTTGCTCGAAGTTTTGATGAAGTTTCGTCAGAAGCCGATAGCGGTCAGCGCCGACGTTGAAGAAATGTTCCACCAGATCGTCATAAGGGTGGAAGATCAACCAGGGCAGAGATTTTTGTGGAGGTAGAAGTCCGGTGATGAAATCCAGGTGTACTCCATGCGAGTGATGACTTTTGGAGCGACTTGTTCTCCTTGTGCGGCGCAATTTGTTAAGAATAAAAATGCGTTCGAGTTTGTCGGAGAATTCCCCGAGGTGGTCCCGTCTATATTAAATAATCACTACGAGAATGATTTCGTTCACTGCTTTGCTGACGTAGAGGAAGCCGTGAGCATTGCGAATCAAGTAAAGTACATTCATCGGACAGGCGGATTCAATTTGAATGGATTCGTGTCCAATTCTCGAGCGGTAAGCGATGCCCTAGGTGATGGTCAATCTGTTGGAACGATGAAAGACTTCGAAAAACCTGAGGCAGGTCATCAGAAGGTCCTCGGAATGCAATGGGACACGAGGAGCGACGTGCTAAGGTCCTTTTTGGCCTTCGGTCGCGTGGACCCGGAGCTGTTGCAAGGTCGGCGTACTCCAACTAAGCGTGAACTATTACGCGTAATGATGTCCGTCTTCGATCCCTTCGGCGTTGCCGCAGAACATGTGCTCAAGGCCAAGTTGTAGCTGCAGATAGTATGGAGAGCTGGAACTGGTTGGGATGACGAAATCTCGGAGGAGGCGAAAACTGTTTGGAAGTTATGGCTAAATACGTTGAGCTACATCGAAGGTATCAGAGTGCCACGTTGCTACAAGGCGTCATTTTCAACGGGAGTTGTTGTACTCCACATCTTCGCTGACGCAATCGAGGCGGCTTTCGCTGTTGTAGCGTACTGGCGCATCAATACTGACCGCGGCGTAGAAGTGGCACTAGTGACAGGGAAAACTAAATGCGCACCTCTAAAACTTACAACGGTTCCGCGACTCGAGTTGCAAGCTGCGGTACTAGCCTCTCGTCTGAAGATAATGGTGTCAAAATACCACGACGTCAAACCGTCACGGGTAGTCATGTGGACGGATTCAAGGACTGTTCACGCCTGGATAGCTTCAGACCATAGGAAATACAAACCTTACGTTGCTCATCGGGTGAATGGGACGAATCGAAGCGACTGTAGGTGGGTACCGGGAGCTTTAAATCCTGCGGACTTCGGTACCAGACTCCGAAGTAACGCGCGTGAGTCATCTTGGATGGTGGTCCAGGTTTCTTGACGGAGGATGAATCGTTCTGGCCCAAAACTAACAACATCGAAAGTACGCGCCAAGAACTACGAACTAAACACCAGCTAGTTTTCACTAGAATAAATGATAACCTTTTTCTCAAATATTCAAACATTATGCGGTTGATACGAGTGGTTGCCTACATGCGAAGGTTCGTGAATAATTGCAACAAGGCGCCAGGAAATAGACTATTCGGAACGCTCAACATTCAAGAGCTCAGAGAAGTGGACTTACTAGTCATCCGCAGCACGCATCAAAGCACTTATGTCGAAGAGTACGCTCTACTGAAATATGGTAACCGAATATGCCCAAGCAGCAGAATTTTCAAACTGAACCCCGTAGTAGATGAGGCAGGGATTATGCAGGTGAATGGCCGCCTGCAGAATGCTGACGTAGTACACCCGTATACACGTCGACCCGTCGTGATGCCACAAGGACACCATGTAACCAATACTCTTGTTGACTTGTACCACCGTATATGGTAGCACCAGAGTGAGAACACCATCGTGTCGGAGTTACGACGCAAATATTGGATTCCCCGTATCCGCGAGGAAGTACGAAAGCAGCCAAGAGGTGCCTTGTGTGCAAAAGAGGACGTGCCTTGCCAGATGTGCTACAAATTTGACAACTGCCAGCGGGTCGCCTTACGCCATTTGTACGACCGTTCACGTATGCAGGTCATGACTACATGGGTCCGTTTCTGATCGTGGCTGGGAGGTACGGAAAAGCGGTGGATCGCGTTATTTACGTGTTTGACGACACGCGGGATACACCTTGAGATGGCTATCTATTTAACTACAGATACTTGTTTACTCTGCATCCAGAATTTCATGTGTCGACGTGGAACGCCGGTGCGGATCAGGTCGGATAATGGCATCAACTTCATAGGAGCAGATAGGGAAATGCAGCGTCAACTCAAAGACTTCGAAGAGGGAAAGATATCCGAGGCATGGGCATAGAATGGGTGTTCAACAGTCCGTTGAACACAGACGCCGGCGGATGTTGGGAGCGCTTGCTACATAGTGTAAAGCGTGCCATGCAACATGCATTCAACATCGAAATATTTAAAGAGCAGACGCTGTACAGCGTCATGTGTGAAGCCGAAAACGCTGTGAATTCGCGACCGCTTACGCATATCCCACTTGACGCTCCTGATGAATAACCTTTAACCCCCAATCGTTTCCTCCTAGGCACAGCGAACTCGGAGTAGACTCCGAATCTGCAAGAAGAATCCTTTAAGGTGACGCGAACGCAGTTGCGAAAAATGCAGCAGATTCACCATCGCTTCTAGAAGCGGTGGATGGCGGAATATCTTCCGGACTTGTGCCGTCGAACGAAGTGGTGGAAACCCGTGCAGCCGTTGTCTTTGGGAGATTTGGTCCTGTTCTGCGATGATCGCATGCATCGATCCAGGTAGCCGATCGGTCGAGTCGTTAGCGTCAAGCCGGGCAAGGATGGGCAGGTCCGTGCGGCAGAAGTGAAGACGGCTGGATGGACGTTCCGGAGACCAGCTTGTATGTTGGCGAAGCTAGACGTTGGTGAATCTAGCAGTGGTTAGATCTACGGCGCCCGGGATAATGTGAAGGAAAACACTTAGTAGAGCTTAAATAGTTTTGAATTTAGCAATGCAACCCTGCACGGTGCATAAATCCAAGTTTTGTTAAGTCCGGCAACGCTGCCGATTGTTCATATCTGTCAAATGTTCGTATTTGTCAAATGTTAGTATCTGTCAAATGTAAAGCGCCATAATTTTATTCCGAAGACAAAAAGGCGCGAGGACACACAAAGTGTAAGGCAATTCGATTTAGTTTAAGATTGTACTTATTCAACATTGCAAAATTTTATAAAATCTTAACTTGCAGGAAAATAAAACAAACAATCACAAGCAATCAATCATCAAC